GCATTTTAAAATGTTACTTTATCACTATCACAAATATTAATAAAAGTTAATGTAACTTTTAATCCTTCAAATTTATTTTAATTATCAATTTGATTTCTCAAGTTAATTTTTTATCACTTTAATCCCTTAAGTATGATTCAATCATTGATTTGATTTTTATTTTAAACAAGAAGTTATATAGTTAAAATTGGCTAATATTATAATAAAATATTGATAGCAGCAGATTACTAAAAGGTGTGTAATTATTTATGTAAAAAAAATGTTAAAAATATGAGAGAACAAAACATAATTTAGGAATTATATTGATAAAAATTAAACTAATTTGAGAGTTGATTTGTTCTCATTTAATTACATATACATGCTAAGTCATTAGTATATTTTACAATTTGATAAAAAAATAAATATTCTTTATACATTAAATTGGCCCTCGGTCTAACCGATTCATTTGCAATTCGGCTTGGTTTCTTGAAAGTGACTTCAATGAGTTGGTGATTGACTCTTGGCATAACTGTGATTGGTTGGAAGGGTTGGAAAATTTCTCCAGTCAGGCCAAAACATGGAGCAAAGACAAAATTGCTAACATTCCTAAAAAAAGAAGAGAGATCATGAAGAGACTTGAAGGGATTGACAAAGCTCATGCTAGAAATGACAGAAATGGCCTCCATAAAATTGAAAAACAACTTTGGGAGGAATGTCATAAACTTGGTATGCAAGAAGAATTAATCTGGCTCCAAAAGTATTCGGTAAATTGGTTATAATGGAGAGACAAAAACATGAGATACTTCCATGTATCTACCAAGATTAGACGAAAGAGAAACCATATCATTGCCCTCAAAGATGGAAATGAGGAGTGGGATACTGACTCTCAAAACCTCATGACAAGATCTTTCTTTAAGGATTTGTATACTAAGGGTATGTTTGTCTTTGCAGATAGTGTTGAACTGCTATTTTTCTAGATATCATTGAATCTGACTTGAGATGGATCCAAAGGGATGTGACTAATATTGAAATTAAAATTGCTGCTTTTGCTATGGGTGCTTTTAAGGCTTCAAGTCTAGATGGGCATTCAAGCTCACTTTTTCCAAAAACAATGGCATATTGTTGGTAATAAGGTCTGTATGATGATTAAGAGTTTCTTTGATAATATCAGTAAGGTTAAAGAGGTAAATCAAACTAGTTTGGTACTCATTCCCAAAGATAATCCTTGTTCTCTTAAGGAATTGAATTCCATCTCTCTTTGTAATGTAAGCTTCAAAATTGTTACTAAAATTCTTGCAACAAGGATGAGTGGGATCATGAAATATCTGATCAATCCCCAATAATGTAGTTTTATTGAGAGAAGCCAAAGTTGTGATAATATCATTATAGTTTTATTATTTGTGTAACTATTAATGTAAGCTCATACTTATAAATAGTACATGTTATTTGTATTGGAAGAACAATAATCCATAAGATATGCTTTGATCACTGATGGTTTGGCGGATTATTTTTTTTACTTAGAATTCAAAGGATTGAACGGAGACTAGTTTGAGGGAGACAGAATATTTACCTAGAGTTGTCTTACCATGTATCCCCCCACCTTTTCTGATTCACTATTTCCCTGGATTTTGGAGACAAGTTTTAATTCTCATGAGGATAATGAGACTTTCATTTTTTTTTAGTTATCAATATCATCTTTCAAATTTAATTTTTATTGATTTAATCTCTTATAATTTTTTTTAGATTATCATGTTAGTCTCCTTTAAATTTTAAAACATAATTTGACTCTTAAATTAATCTAATATGTACATTATATTGATAATTTAACATGTACGTACAGTTACTTAAGAAAAAATTATCCCTCAAATCAATGTAATTTTCATTAATTTAATTCTTTACATTGCATTTTGTTCTTTTATTTTTTAAAAATTATGTGTCTATTATTTTTCTACCTAAATAATTACATTTTTTTAATTAATCTACGTGATAACCATCAATATTTTATTGTCCGTGTTAATAGATCTTATCAGTATTACCATGCTCATTCTGCCATTCTTAGTTATTTTATGCAAACTATGCTCATTCCTAAAGGAGTTTTATACGAGGTGGAAAAGTTAAGTGGGAATTTCTTTTGGAATCAATTCGAAGGTAATAAGAAGCTTAATCTCATAGCTTGGAATGATATTAACCAAGAGGGAAAAAAAAAAAAAGAGGGGGCTTGGTATTCAAAGATCTCCATACTCAAAATAAGGCTTTTATGTTCAGTTCAAGTTATGCTAGGGGATCCTTTGTAAGTTTGATGGCCTTTCGGTATAATGCTTATGAGCAAAATATAAATGTGACTGTGGGGGCGATCTTAATATTACAAAGAAGAAAGGAGCCTCTTATACCTGGACAGGAATTGTGAACTGTGAAGGTTTAGGATTACTTTCTTAAAGGCATTAAGAGGAAAATTAGAGAGGAAGAGACACCAAATTTTAGCGGGATAGGCGGCCTAACTTGAAACAACCCCTTATCGTCTATGTCACTAACCATGGGATGGTTTGTAACTCGAGAGCCTTGGTTTGGGACTTTGTTACTGATGAAGGTAATTGGGATATTTTGAGATGGAGATAGTGTCTTCCTCAAGTGGTAATAAACTCTTTGTGCAAAATCAATGCTCCTAGTACAAATGGAGCTAATAAATATAGTTGGATTGGATCCACAGATAGAACTTTTTCTATTAAGTCTGCTTATGATTTCATTCTGAGATTAGGTAATACTTGGTCTAATCCAAGGTGGACTTCTTTTTGGGGATGGTTGGTTCTTGAGAAAGTCAAGATGTTCTTCTGCCAAGTGACTCATGAGAGACTCCCAAATAATTCCCTAAGAGCCAAGAGAATTTTTACTGATAATTCTCACTGTCCATTCGAGTCAATGAGGAGGAAAATATTATACACATACTTCAAGATTATCCTAGAGCTCGTGAGTTCTAGAGAGTTTCCATTAAACCTAACATGCTATAATAGTTTTTTCATGGTGATTTGCAGGAATAGCTATCTTGGAACTCGACCCATAATTTGGGTTCTAGTAACGTCAAACACCGGCCATAGGTGAAAACCTCTGGCATTGTGTGCTGGACCTTTTGGAAAACGAGATGTCAGAGAATATTTGGAGAAATTGATCCATTATCAACTAGGGAAGTTGCTCATGCATGTTTTATTCAGCTTATGGAGGAGAATATTAATGGTACATTTAAAAATAGAATCTTCCATGTTGCTGCAGATTCCCAGATGCTTTAGAGTCTATCGCCACTTGAGTTTATCCGTATACATGTTGATGCTTCAATTCAACAAAATCAGCAAGCTACCTGTGAAGGTGTGATCAGAAATTCACAAGGTTACTGGATCTTGGCTTTCAAAGAGAACTTGGGCTCATGAATGTGGTTACGGTTGAATTGCTCGCTATCAAAACTGGAATGGAAGTTTTCCAGCAAATAGATCTTACAAAAGTGAAATTATTTTCTGATTCCCTTTAAGCAATTATTTTACTAATGAGAGGTGGGTGGATGGTCACAGGTTTAGAAACATTTTGGAAGATACAAGGGGCATAATCATTGTAGATTGGGAGCTTAGTATCCATCATGCTTATAGAGAGAGCATTAGTTTTGCAAGTTATCTAGCTAGGAATGCAACTAGAGTTGGCCAAACTGTGCAGATGATTCCCACTATTCCAAAAGAGTATAGAGAATTACTGCAGGTTGATTGTGCTCATTGGTGTTAATTGCTTTTGTGTCATTGTCTTTTAATTTGCGTTTTGATGTAATTTACCCTAAGCTTTAAGCTTGCCTCTTTGTACTGAAAAAATTTTAATTTAAATGACTTGCATGATGATTAGAGAAAACATAAACATCTAAATCAATAAAAATTAAATTTGAAAGACCAAATCAACAACTGAAACAAATTTAAAAGACTAAAAGTATTGTTTCCCCTATTAATCATCAACATTGTACTTTTAAAATATAAAATTAAAATAAATACACCATTAAGATGTGATAAACTGTGGAGGGTGGAGATCATTTCTCAAATATCCCTCCACCTAGTTTCTTTTTAGGGAAAATTATGGAGAGTGATCCAATATTAATTATTACAAAGGATCATAAAAATTAAAATTAGGATGGAGAACAAAAGTAAGTATAATCGACTATAATAACTCTTTCTATAAAATTTGTCAATAATATATCTTAAAATTAATGTGGCGCTTCACAAATTACAAGAATACTCTTTTAAAAGATAAGGTTGTGCAGGTTTTAATTCCATACAAAAAAAAGTAATATTAAATTTAATTAAATTAATGTAATTTTAAAAAATCCTTACAATTAAATAATTCAATCAATATAATTTTAAAGTCTTTACTTCCAAAAAATTAAATCATATAATTTAAAATATCTTTACTTTTAAATAATTATTACATTTTGTCAAAAACGCCATGTCTCAATCTATGAACTTAAGGACTTTCAAGGCAAATGATATTATTAATTTGTTAAGGATTATTGACATTAATTTAGCTTTATTTTAGTTCGCTGTTTTTCATCTCCTTGTTATATATATATATATAAAGAAATAAATTTATCTCAAATAATGTATTTTTGTCTATTAAATAAAACGTGTGACATGTCATCAAAAAAAATTTAGAAAATTTGATTAGGGATAATATAGTATTTTTAAATTTATATTTTAATATTTGATTCTTCTAAATAATTACTATTTTTAATATCTCTCCAAAAAAATTATTTTCTTCATGTCCTTCGTTATGATTTTCCCTTCTTTTTATAATAATATTAAGTTATAAATTTAATGAAACATAGATAATAAAATAAAAATATAAATGAGTAGCTTCCTTTTTATAATTTAAAAAAAATACTTTTTTTTTTTAAATCTTACTTTATTAATCTTACCAAGCAGTTGTTTCCTCCCATTGACTCTGTACATGAGAGCACCACCCTCCACTCTATATAGTGTTAAAGCATTGGCGCTCACACAATATTCTCCAAACCTGAGGCTTTTTCTTTCTCTCTCTCTCCAAAATCTGAATCCTTTGCTCCTCGAATTGTCTTCTGCTTCTCTCTCTGTGATCTGACTTTTGAGGTCCTGGTTCCTCACATCCACAAATGTGTTTTTCAAAGCGTGGCCACAGATTCTTCAAATTCAGAATCATAATTCTGTCCCTGTCTCCCATCTCTGGTCATTTCGTTTTCTGAACTGTTTCAATCCCTTCAAACCCTCTCCGTCCACAATTATCTTCAACCCTACCTCTCGCTCTCTCCCCTCTTAGCCCTAGGGCTCATAATTCCCCACTCCAATTCAAAATATCTCTCAAGCAGAGGCAGTTTTTAGCTCTCTGCTTCTCCTTCTTCACACCCAAATGATTTCCCAGAAACACTACGAGCTTTCTCATGTTGCTGTTGAAATGTCCTCCATTATTATGCTCAGTATTGACTACTCGAGGCTCTTCTGGTTATTGTTTGGCGTCTTCTGTTATGAGAATTACGAGGGGAAGCCTCGGATTTTCTAGCACTCTCTCTTTCTCTCTCTGTTCCTTCTTCTGTTCATATAACCACACACTCTGTTTCTGAGTTGAATTTATTACTGTCAGTACTTGTTTTCTTATATATAAACATACACATACATACATATTTAAACGTGAAGCATCGGTTCGATCAGTATCTGTTGGTGAGGTTTTTCTGGGTTGAAGTCCCCGGCCATGAACAAGATGAGATTAGGAGGCGTGGCTCAGATTCATTATGTCGAAAAAGACCCATCTGGACGATATGGACGAGTAAATCCCTGTTATTTCGTTCCTGTTTTTCAATCTGGTTGACTTTTTTTTTTTCCGAGCAATAACTGATGCTGCATAAATTGACTATTTTTTATGATGGATATGATCTTTCAGTTATCAATCTGATCTAAGAAATATTGTATAGTGACTCTGTTTGTTTGATCATGGTGCTACTTGATGTTGCCGAAAACTGCTTAGAAAAATTTCAAAACAATCAATTTTGGAGAAAGAGTAGGTTAGATGCTTGACGGGCTTGAATTCACTTTAGATCAGTGGTCTATTATGACCAATATGGTCGAATTCGTAGGATTAATCAGCCTGCATGCTAATCAAAGAGAAAAGTCGACCTCTTTTCTTCTTTATCTATTTTTTTAATGAAGAAAAATCAAGCACGATATTGCCTAGTGGGCATGACATAACAAGACTTGTTCACATGACATGTCTTCCTCACTTTCTCACGCAAGGTCAACCCTCTGGCTCTCCAAGAGCCAAGAGTCACTCCAAGAGATGGAAACTGAATGTGTGAAACATATTACTTGTTGGTGTTAATTAATGATATATAATTGTGTATTTTAGACAATAATCAGTGTGTTAATAATAACTGTGTTTTTTTGTGATTATTGGTACAAGTAGTTCAGGGATGTTCTGGGGAAAGGGGCGATGAAGATTGTGTATAGAGCATTTGATGAGGTGTTAGGAATGGAAGTGGCTTGGAACCAAGTCAAGCTTGGAGATGTGTTTCATTCCCCAGATGAGCTACAACGCCTTTATTCAGAGGTTCATCTTCTCAAGAACCTTGATCATGACTCTATCATGACCTTCCATGCTTCGTGGATCGATGTCCACCACAGAACCTTCAACTTCATCACTGAACTCTTCACCTCCGGCACGCTTCGAGAGTAATCCACCATCTCTTATTGTTATACTCTTTGACATAGATTCATCATGAACAGATGAACTATCTGTGTTCATTGCGTTATCTTATCATGAGGTTAAACATATACAGGTATAGGCAGAAGTACCATGGAGTCGATATTCGAGCTGTGAAGAACTGGGCTCGTCAAATTCTTAGGGGCTTGGAGTATTTGCACTGCCACGATCCGCCTGTGATACATAGAGACCTCAAGTGTGATAATATCTTTGTCAATGGCCATCTGGGGCAGGTCAAGATTGGCGATTTAGGCTTCGCGGCAATCCTTCGTGGCTCTCAACACGCCCACAGTGTCATAGGCATTGTTTCTGTCTCCCTCTAGCACATTATAAGCAATGAAATGATTAATCTAATTACAAATCCTGTTTGTATGAGAACTAAAAAAATTTCTACTTTGGTGTTAAACTACAGGTACACCTGAATTTATGGCACCAGAACTGTATGAAGAGGAATACAATGAACTAGTAGATATATACTCCTTTGGGATGTGTATGATAGAGATGCTTACCTCAGAGTTTCCATACAGCGAGTGCTCCAACCCAGCACAAATATACAAGAAAGTCACATCAGTAAGATTCTTAGGACACATAATTAGTCTAACTTTTTCTTCTTAGATCTGAGTTATGTTGACAAACCTTAGATAATTTGGTTCATCAGGGGAAGCTACCAGATGCATTTTACAGAATCCAAGACCTGCAAGCCCAGAGATTTGTGGGAAAATGTTTGGCAAATGTGTCAAAGAGATTGCCGGCAAAGGAACTCTTGTTGGACCCTTTTTTAGCCACGGTCCAACTCGAATCACTGCCGCCACCCTGCCTGCCATTACCAAAGATTCATCAAACTAACAAGTCAAGTTCCAATTCAGTAGCTGCCAAGGTGCATCCTTTCATGGCTGAACAAATAAAGAACACAAACATGACAATAACAGGGACAATGAATGAAGAAGACGACACAGTTTTCCTAAAAGTACAAATTTCTGACAAAAACGGTATGCACCATGCAGATTCAAAATCAGCAGCCTTCTAGACATATATTTTTCTACGTTGATTGTGTGAATTAAAAATTTGTTTCATGAAAACAGGACATGTTAGGAACATATATTTCCCCTTTGACACCATAAATGACACTGCGATGGACGTGGCCATTGAGATGGTGAGGGAATTGGAAATAAGCGACTTGGAGCCATTGGAGATAGCTCAAATGATAGAGGAAGAGATATTAGCTCTGGTTCCAACTTGGAAGGATTGGGGCACTTCTCAGTATCCACGTCAGCACAGCTTTAGATATGAAGAGGAGGAAGATATCAGCAACCACTATCCTTTTTTCTCACCATCTTCTCGATCTTCCTCTCACGGTTCTCCCCCAATGCTTAGCTTCTCTAGCAAGACCCTCTTTGGTGACGACAATAACCATCTCTCACTTGCACAGGATTGGCTTCAAGGTATAGATAGACCTTCATATAATAACAGTTAAATCTTATCTGAATTCATTCTCTGAAATCTGAACTCTTCTGGTCTGTATAAGCAGACGCTTCCTTTCTCGACGATGCAAGCTCAGAAAGCTCTATGAACTCCTTCAAGTATGCGAACATGAATCACTGCGAGCTGGTGGGCGTTGAAGATGAGCATGAAGCAAATTACAAGTGCTCAAGGTTCTGTCCTGCACAAGAGATGGAAGCCAATTACAGTAAGCAGATGAGCTACGGAAGAACAACAGGCTTCTCCTGCAGGAGATGTGGTGATCATCGGCCGGCGAGCCTGACGAGAATGAGGTCATATGTGGATGTGAGGAGCCAGCAGTTGCAGAGATCGTTAATGGAAGAGATACACAAGAGAAGGATGTTCAAGACAGTAGGGGCAATTGAGAACATTGGCTTTCAGGATCCTACATGGAGGTCTGCTTCCTGAAAGAAACAAGGATATGCTTCGCACGTAGAAGCCTTATGGATTCTAGATCATCTTCTTGTAGCTTTGGGTGGTTTTGTGTATTAATCGTCATGCTTTGCCTTTTGTTTTCTTATGTCCTGTTATACAAATAAGGGCGTCTGAAGCTTCCACTTGATTATAAAGAACATTATATAAATATCTGGAAATAAGTCATCATATTCATCAACTTCCTAAAAAAAACAAAGATTAAATGATAGCAAAGTGTGCAGAAGGTCTAAATAAACACAAAATGCAAGCAATTGCATTATTTTGAAATCAAGATCTGTCATTTACCTTGCTATAGGGTTGAGCAGAATTGTAGCTATTCAACGAATCAGTCTTAAAGGAGAAGAAATTAAAGCAAATAATGAATCCTTTACTTTCTCGAATAAAGTTTCGGATCTAAGAAAACAGAAGTTTTATGGTTGCACAATATATACGTGCCGCTCAGAATCAATATATTATTATTATTGTTATTATTTTGCCAACGAGAATCAATATTTTATAGGAAAAAATTTATATACTTAAATTTATATATATAGTGTATTTGTTTTTAATTAAATCAAGACATATAGATCTTGTATGAATTATTCATTTTATAATAAATTATTGTTATTAATTTTATTTAATATATTAAGATTTAATTTTTTTATATAAAAATAAGTATATAAATCTTACCCTATTTTATAATACACTTAACGAATCAATATTTTTTAATCAAAATTATATTATATTTTAATCTAAAAAAATAAGTTTAAAAAATTTGAACTTGTCATTCACCTTTTCAAGTATTTATAAATATAAAAATAAATTACTGATATCAAGAAGATTTGATTATTATTATTATTATTATATATATAAAAATTTTTATGGATGTAACCTTTTATATATTTGATCAAACCCCACCTCTTCCACATGAGGCGGCCGATGATGAAAAAAATTTGTCAAATGACTTTGTCTCATTTTGAAGTGGTTAGCTTATGAATATACTTTTCTAATCAGCGAAAGAAAAAAAAAAGAAAAGAAAGAAAGAAAAGAAAGAAAGAAAGAAAGAAACATTTGCCTAAGCTACAGATTTGTCGATATGGTGCATGAATTAGCTCCATAGGACGAAGCGAGAAAACTGAAAACCCGAATTTTCTGCTCTGTTTTTTTTTTTTTTTGGGGTCAATTTTCTACCCTAGTGACACGATGCGAAACCGTGAGATTTACCAATTCCAGCAAGCGATCGTCATGAAGATAGACCTGCGTTACCTCTATCCAATGCATGAAGGTTGAAACAAGAAGCATTCATTTCTGCATTTCTTAGATTGATTCAGCCATCATTCTCAACAAATATCTCCAATCATCCATCAAGCGTCATGCCACTCTCGCGCTGTCGCAGCCAATTACCGGTACCACCGCCGTCTCCGGTGCCGACGGCGAAAGGATCACGCAACGCCGCGAACGAACCCTTGAGGCATTACCTGGACAACACACCACAGGACCTTCCCGAACTGACGCTGCCGGACGCACACATGCCGGCGGCGATGAGAAATCCGGCGCTGCCGGCTGTGATCGATTACCAGAAGCTAAAAGGAGGGACGATGGACCCGGTGTTGAGGTCGTCAGCGAAGGCATTCGGAGCGTTCGGGATCTGCGGTCATGGGATTTCGGAGCAGGATTTGAGAATAATGATGAATGAAGGTCATCGCCTTTTCGAAGACTCCGACGCTCACTACCACAACAAGAAGCGTCACCGTCTCAAGGACACGATCCCCTGCGTTCACTCTCGCAAGGGTACTCTGGAATTCACAGCTCCCAAATTCTTCGATGATCACAAACATCGCAAATTTTGGTAAACAATCTTTAAAGTCCAAACTAATGATTATTGGGTCATTCACGGTTCACCACTTTGTGGACTGAAAGGCTAAGTGTTTTTTTTTTTTCATGGACAATTGGGCCAGTGCGTGGTTCAATGCTGGGCTTATGCCCAAACTTACTAAATTTGAATTTCTACAAAGTTAAACCCAAAACTTTATTCATGTTCATATACTTTACTGAAAACCAAACTAATTATTAAACTGATTAAAGCATTGATTCAAAGATTAAGGGTTAAAAGTGTAGTTGAATTGTAATCAGATTAATTATAAACAAAACATTTTACTAAACTAGTCAAGACGCTAGTTAACCAATTCAATTATACAAGTTGACCCAAATTTTCATATTGTGCATGTACATATAAATGTATGAATTTAACTAACAAGGGAGTTAAATTTAACAGAAGAAGCTAATCCTTTATAATATGATAAATTAATGTTTGAATTCCTTATGCATAGGATACAAATAGGGAATGTGGCAAGTAAACTGGAGGGAATAGTGGAGGAAGTGATAATGGCACTTTCAGAAGAACTGAAGGGGAGGATAGAAGAGATGGAGAGCGTGATTTGCCTGTGTAGGTATCCCCATGATGGTAATGGGACAGAACAAAACGACACATTGTGGGATCATGCCTTGCGTTTCTACCTTCCCATGGAACACTGCATTTTCTACATCCAATCACAAAGAGGTCCTCTTTCCTTTGATGCAGCTCCTCACACTATTGTCATCACCCTTGGCAAACAACTTGAGGTATGTCATCTCATTCTCTTTAAGCTTGGAACAAGCTAACCATGGAATCCTGTTAAAGCAGTGCTCATTTATAAGCATCCGGTTAGTAAAAATGTAACTTCACAAAAGAATATATTCATTCAATGAGTTAGAAGATTAATCCAATTTAATCAGAGATTTTAAGTTTAAATCTTGAATATGTAGCAGCGATTAAATTCTTGATGAAATATATACCTTTAAAGAAATACTTGCAAGTTGCCAACCAAATTAATTTAAGTTAAAACCTAGGATACTAGCGAGGAAACAAAAAATATAAAAACTATCAAGTACTTGAATCAACTGGTAAGGGATTATTCCAATTTAACAATTGATCTTTAATTTGAGCCTAATAACATAGCATTGTTAAAACACAATGGTAGAGCCTATTGCTTGAAAGGGTCCTGCAATACTCTATTCATATTAATTTGAATATCTATTAAGTTCTCTCAACTAAATGTGAGATATGTCTAAGATATGTGGCACACTTCAACCCTACTTCTAATATAATAAACTCATTTAATTATGAGTAATTTGTACATAATTTTACAAATGTATTTTGAGTCATGAGGCCTGCTTTGACTAAGATAATTAAGGGCACATAAATCAGTTCACTAAAATTTTTTTGCAATTAAAGTTTTCTGTTTATAAACTGGACTTGAACATAAATCATGACTCATATTCAATTTGTGACATTTGGGATATGTGTGTACACATGTGGGCACAGGAATGGAGCGAGGGAAGATTGAAATGTGTTCGTGGGGAAATGATATTCATGCCAAGCAGAATGGACAAGAGCAGTGATGCCTCTTTTTCCATAGAGCTCAAGTGTTCCTCTTCCAATCTCAAATACACTTCTCAGCCCCATCACTCTACCACCGTCATCACCTTGCTTGATCAACTTCTCTTTCTACTTTGCCTCTCATTTTTATACAAATTCTTACACTTCATTTTTTGACCCTCATCTTGACTAATCCCTCCTATCATATTTATAAGATAGAAAGAGATAAATTTTTGAGTCTTATTTATAAGGTATATTATTGATGTTTTACTACAAATTTTTCCTTTTACTTTCCATTAAATGCTAACAAGAGAAGATACATTATTAAATTCTTTTTATGATCCTATTTATAAGTCATTTTTAATATGTTTTATTGAAATTAAGAAAAATCTTAAATCTATCTAAAAAATTTAATGAACTTTCAACCTTATTCTTATCAAAAAGAGATACTCCCTCCGTCCTAAATTATAAGATATTTTTATATAAAATCTCACATATCAATAAAATTCATTAAATATACTTTACAATCTTATTTTTTTAAAATAAAAATATAAACTTTTAAAAATATCATTCATTTAATACTCCATTGATAAAAGAATAATGAAAATATATGAGAAGAGTAATATTAAAAAGTATTATTAATTAAACCTTATTTTTATTAAAGTGTCTTATATTTTGAAATTCTAAATCACCCTTAAAAGTGTTTTATAATTTGAGACAGATGGATAATAACATACTTTTTCTTGCTTATCAATATTTAATTGAGGATAAAAGAGAAAAATTATGATAAATATAACAAAAAAAATATTTTGCTACCATATAAATAAAATTGGAGAAAGCGTGTGTGTGTGTGTTAGTTGGTTTGCTTATTGTTAATCAATTTGGAGCATGGCCATCATGATGCTCTTCTTCTTAGGGGCACTAAATTCTTTCTTGTCGTCAGCCATAATTGGTACTTTAATTTACACAAATCCATTATGACGTTTGAGTGATGGAGCTAGATGTTACATTGCATAGAGATTGAGTACTAGTGCTTAATAATTAATTTAATAAATGGTTTAAATGGATTAATTAATATTGGGCTTACAGCCTGAATATGCAGCATATCAGGACATGCGTAGGGCCTTTCTCATAAACACCTGTGTGGAACCATGCGAGATAGACATAATCATTCAGTGAGGCCCATTGTTGACTGCTACATCCTTCTACTTGATTTTGATAATACAATGTTATCTCGGTGTTATGTTTTAAACTTTTAATTTTACTGTAAACAATTTCCACACATTTTTTATGAATAGTATAGTTTACTATAATTTTGTGCTTGTTAATGTTATGTATTGATAAAAAAGTAGGTTCTACATGTATATTCACTAAATAAGCCTTCTAGATATTTTTGTAGTTTCATGATATAATTTCATTCAAACTATATCATGACCCACTATTAGAAAATAAAAAAAAATTAGTCATGTATATGCATGTATATAATCAAATTTGTAATAAGTCATAGAATTAATAAATCATAGAGGTTTTTTTTTTTTGTTGCCAGAAATCTTAAAGCTTTGTTTCTGAAACTCTCTACCCTTCATGGAAAAAGCGTTTCATCATATGCCTTTTCTCTTTGGTTGGAGATTAGTCAATATTAATAACACCATTTTTTTTATACAAAAAAAAAAAAACCTTGTCCACCCAAGTGAATGTTCCAGTCAAAGTTTTAGTGGATAGCTGTTATCAACCAATTAATGACACGCATGCACAATACTTCAATGTACAGCTAAGCAAGAATATATAGTAAAAGAAAATTGGGAGGAAAATTAATTTTACTTTAATATGTCAACGTCATAAAAAATTACTTCTTCCATTTCCTTAACGCCAGTTTAAAGCTGGTCAAAAAAAAAAACACCAGTTTAAAGAATTATCTATTTATTTGCTATTTAAAATTTTAAGATAATAGTTAGTTTCGGCTTATAAAATTATTAAGTAATATTAATATCTATTTCTGAACCACGCTTTTATCTTAACTAACTTTAATTATGAAATAAGAGAGATCATTATAGAAAGAATATACATAAAAAACTAATGACAATATTATTATAATTTTTAAAACAATTTCGTTATATTATTTATATCCCTTAATTTTATATATATATATATATATATTAAAAATTTCATCAATAAATAAAAAAACTAATATAATTACTAAACAGGTGAGGTTGGTTCTTTGCTACTACAATACAAATGCTATTACACCATTTAAAAAAAGTAGTAAAACTTTTAAAAATTAGATAGGTCAGGCAAATATTGCAATTTGGGCCAAATATTTTGATACTATAAACACAATTTTTTCTTGGTGCTAGCAAAATTACAAATGCTATTGCACCATTAAAAATATAATAAAATTTTAAAAGTTAGATAGGTTTGGCACATTGCAAATTTGTATGCAATAATTCACATTATAATTATTACTATATGACTAATTAAGTTGAAATTCAGTGTGGTCAATAAAATTACTTTCTTGGGAAGACTAGGAAGTGATTAGATTATATACTTGTATAAATTCTTTTTTTAATAAAAATATGTTTCTAAATTATAATTTAATTGGTTGGAAAGAATAAGTTATATATATTGAGAAATATTTAAATAGGCTGGATACACTGCGTTATTTATGATCTGTTAATATTCCAAATAATAAACAGAGAGAACAATCAAAGTAATTAAATTGGTGAAGCGACGTAATTGGTAAATTATTTTCTGTTAGAATGTCATTGTTGGGGGCTGGCTCCACCAAAATATAGTAATGATATTGACATTTGAAATTTCCTGAGAACTTAACAACCAAAATATGAAGTAAGTTTATATCCTGAAGAAAAATAAAGGAATCCCATCATAGTCTTACTGTTAAATCAATTATTTAGGAGAAAACACATCACATCCATCCCCATTCCCTCCCGATAATGAAGGGTCTTGAAAACAACACGTCTAGTATTAATTATTAATTAATCCCACTATTGCTTGGGCCCTCTAATTAATCAAGTGTAGCTAAACCTGCATGTACTTCATAGCAATACATTTATATTTGTTATAGCTGTAAATTGAATACTAACTGCTAATAAAAGTTGATTCTATTACCAGGATATGCCTCATACTATTAGGTTCTTTATGTGTAAGTAAATTTGAGCAGATGCAAAAAGTCCCACATTAGTTTTAAAATTATATATGTGTGTGTTATAAAAAAAATTAATTCATAAATTTGAGTTTTAAAATTTTAAATTAAGATACGGTATCCTTCTATTATTCTTACACCATTTGTTTTTTCCTTGTTTCTAAGCGATGACTCTCCATTTAAGTAAAATTTATATACTTAACTTTATATATTTAATATATTTTCATCCAATCAAATTAAGACAAGAACTTGAACAAAATATATTACATGATATACAATACTAATTTGGTGAACAAAAAAGGACGTGAATCGACACTTGAATTTATTGAGAGGCGTAAACAACAATTGTCCACTGATTACATCTTTGAGAGATGAATCCAAAATCGGGAGCGATAATTGTCATAATGTATTTACTGATTTATTAAAGTTCAGATCGAAACATGTGAAATTTAGTTTAGTCTTGAGGTACGAGAATTTGTATAGAGTATTCAATATTTGACCAAATCAAAGCCTAATAAGCTCCCTCTACACACACAGAGAGATACACATGGTTGAATGAGTTTCAGTGCTCTCAGAATTCACGAGAGACAACAAAATGAAAAATAGACAGTAAAAATAATTGAGGGGTGTGTGTGGGTGTGTGTGCAGGCTCAGAAATAAGTGAGAGCAGTGTTGGTTGTTGAATTGAGCAAGAAATGGCAATATGCGAAAAGAAAACAAAGAGCAAAAATCAATGAAAGGGATTAAAGAGAGAACATGTAGGAGTGGAAAATAAGGACTCTTCACACCAAGAAAACACATGAAAGCTTCAATTTTGTCTTAAGCTATGGCTTCTATATCCCATACATACCTTTCTTTGACAGCAAAGAGCCATCAAGGTGCGTGTGAGGCTCTGCTTACTCTCTCTTTAATTGCATAGTGTACACACACGCCTCACTATAAATATTATTACAACAATATAACAATAAGTCTTATCATATTAAGTAAGATCGATTATATAAATTATATATAATAATGCCATTATACTCTATTAATAGTGCTAAGTTTTTGAATATATATATATATATATATTATTAGCCAAAATATCTTGTTAAGAATTTTATAGAACTCAAAACTATCAGTTGAATATTATTACTACTATATTATAGAGTATGAAATTTTATCATTTGATTTGAACATCACATCCTTTTTCTGAGATTTCCCATAGATTTTTGTCCCCCTCTGCACGTGCACCTTTCCTTAATCAATTTCATTTCTTCAATAATTTTTCACCCACTTTTTGCGACTTTGATTATGGTTTGGTTTCGTACATGATACAGTTATTGACATTAGGGATATGATTAGGTTGAAAATGATAGAAATAAGTTAAGCAAATATGTGATTAGACGTTTTTTTGTTTGAATAATAAAAAAGCAGTTATCTTTGTATTTATTATATTTTTTAATTTTAATTTTAAGTAATTGAGTTTGGCTAGTGCATTTTTTTTTTCAAGAGATTAACCACGTTATATGATTGATTTTCTTAAAGAAAAATTTAGGAGAGTCTATAATAAAAATATAAAGAATTAATGGACGTTGGGTTGATCCTTTAACTACAATCTGAAAAGATTTCGTTTGAAATTAACAACAAAAAAACTTATCTAGATAACATTCAAGATCTGTATTGATAATAGATTAATGATCTTGGTAGCTTTCCTGTAGTTATAAGAACATAGAATTAAACCAAGCAATGAAGATGAGTAAAGCAGGATCCTCTCGTCTGTTGTGAAGCTGCAGATCCAATTTAGATCGGAACGAAGATATTCATTTACAAAGAAAGAGTGATATGTGATTTCTTCTTAAAAAATAAACATGGACGTTGGTACTCTAGTCTACTATAGTATAAAAATAATAGCGCAAATGACTAGGGAACTTTTTTGTTTCCATTGACAAAATTTAATATTCAGTAATTAATTGAGATCTGCATTATTGACTTATTTTGGTCTTTTGAATCCGTGAGGATATGAAACTCCAGCCCATCGTCCTTTAGTGAGTCCTCCTCTCAACTAACTCTCTCTCTCTCTCTCTCTCACACACGCACGCACAAATTAA